GGTCATCCTTCCAGGCCCTCTTGCTCAGGTCTCCAGTCCCAGCCAGGCCAGCTGCACGGTGTGCCCCACCAGCCTGGCTTCTGGTGTGACAGGGAAAGCACAGAGGAAGACCCTGAGGTTGGCCAGACAGTCCTTAGCCCTTATTGGCCCTGTCTACACGTGCATTTATGCCAGTTTAAATTTACTACACAGTAAATTACTGCACAGTAAGTGGGAATAGGCAGGTGTCCACATGTGCAGGCGTTAAAGCACATTAACACTGCACGTGGACTGACTTGGAACTCAACTTAATCCCACGTCAGTCCTCACACACAGCGTTAATGTGCAGTAATGCATCCACATGTGCGTTCCTGCACGGTGACGAATCGGAGGTAAATTGCAGGTATTGCACGATGCAGGTATCAAACTGCATGACGCAGGTATTGCATCAAATTGCACCAAACTGCATCAAATTGCATGATGCAGATATCAAATGTATGCTCATGTCGGTGTAAGTCACTGTGTTTACTGCACAGTCTAGGCATGCATGTGTAAATGCATGCCCATGCTGCGCAGTTACTGCGCAGTAAATGCGCACGTGGAGACGTGCCCACTGAGAAGGAACAAAAAGAAGGCAACCAAGTGAAAGAGGCCTTCAGAGGCCATTTCACAGCATCTAGTCGCTGCCAGGGAGAAGGGGAAACTGCAGGAACTTTTATTGCTTCAGCAGCCAGGGCAGCTGAACACGGCGTTGCCAAACTTCCTGCTTGTAGCCGACAAACTCCTGAGTCTGGGCTTTAAAACTTGCAAGGATCAGCTTGAAAAAAATCACAAGAGGACACACCTGTGAGACTTTGCCCTGGCTGTCGATGTTTTCAGGGGAGCCGCCCAGCCCCCATAGTGCACGTGCTTGGTCTGCTCTACTGAACCTCGGCACCACCCAAAGTCAATGGGGCCAGGGCATTCAGGGCGGCCCTGCCCTGCACAACGAAGACTGTGCCCAGGTGTCTTAGTTGCCTCTCTCCCTGGGGAGGCTTCCTCCTTTTTCTGGCTGACACGGCTTAATGAAGGAAATGTAGGGGATAAAAGGAGTGAGGCTTACTGGTAGGAGACGTTGAGGTTCCTGAGGCTGGGGGCATGACTTGAGACTTGGGCAGCCAGGCATCTGAGCACAGAGTCGGGACAGGGTTGCAGTGGGGTCTGGAGATGATGGTCAAGCAAAGTCCAGATGCGGAAGACACGGCCAGGAACAGGCCAGAGTCAGGAGGCACCGATCTCACCAAGGTCAGGAGCACAGAGTTGCCATCAGAGAAGCCAGCCAAGGGGCAGAAACTAGTCATGGAAACCATCAGCATTGGAACAAGGACCAGATCAAGGCACAATGCTGAATCAGGACTATCTACAAGCTCACTAGGAGACTCGCTGTGTGCACAGCTCAGCCCAGCTGCAGGGCTGAGACCTCATCCCAGCACAAGGATGTCCTCATAGATGGGACCGGATACAGCAGTTCCTATGTGCAGGCTGGGTTTTGAAGGATGTCCATGATGGACGTCTCAGAACGATGCCCCGGTAGGAGGACAAGAAAGTTGAACGCCTGCCAGTTCTGCTTTAAGGCGTCCGCCCCAACTCTAACACTGGGCTTCATCTGCACAGTGCAAGGCCATGCCCTGCCACGACCAGCAGTGCCCAAACCTGGACGTTGGGCAAGTGTAGCACAACTGTTGGGCACGTGAGCCCAAGTGTACTGCCACACTCAAGTGGCCATACTGCTTCCAGGGTGGGTGCTGGCTTACTTGCTGAATTGCAAAGGAGGAAGAAGCCCACCATAGCTAGCAAGGTTGCACTGGTCCCTGGAAAACAGAGACCTGATGGGGTCCAAAGAGGTTTGTCCATGAGGAAGTTCTACAGCAAACAGGAGCAGGGATGGAAACGCATGACCTCCGTGACACAATCAGGTCTCTCCCTGCTGTGTTTCTTTCACCAACTTCGCCCAGGTGGTTAGATGTTACATCCCGTCTTCAGCACAAACATTGCTTTTCCCCCATCTTGACTCAGCTAAGGCCACCACTGACGGTTGCTGAATTCAGCCGGCAGCTGAATCCAGAAAATTTCAGGTGCTCTTTGTGAACGACAAGGTTCTTTGGGTGAATCTGATATCTTTTATTAGACCAACTTAAATAGTTGGAAAACAATTTTTAAGCAAGCTTTTGGGTTCAAAAACCCTTCATCAGCCTAAGGAAGTGTCAGCAGCTGGTGTGTGCTCTTCCTGGAGGGAATAAAAAGTAAAAAAGGCAGCGGCTGGGCTGGTGTGCATACGAGACAGGCGGACAGTGAACATGTAGATTGAGGAGTCAATGGGTGAGAGACAGGCTGGGTGCGGGGGAGAAGGGGGATGAATAGTGGAGAAGTACCTGGGGAGTCAGATGTCAGGCAGGTTATAATGTGTCATAAATCCAATGTCTATGTTTAGTCCATGATTTTTAGTGTCCGGGAGGTTGATGAAATGGAGTTCATAGCTCGTCTCTGGGAAGTGTTTTGTAGGTTTCCTTTGAGGATCAGGACTGAGAGATTGGAGAGAGAGTGGTTTTCTTGGGAGAAATGTGCCCCCACCGGTACTTGGGTATTCTTGTCTTTAATGGATGTCCGGTGTGCATTCATCCTGGTGCGCAGTTGTTGTTTGGTCTCCTACGTATTTTCCATCGGGGCATCTGGTGCATGGGATGAGGTATATCACATTTCCGGAGGTGCAGGTGTAAGATCCCTCGAGGGAGGGGTGATATGTCATAACCAGCAGTGTGCGATTTGTGGGGGGTTTTCTTCTGTACTGCAGCAGTTCTTCACGTGGTATCCCGGTGGCTCTTTCAAACGTGAGATCTACCTCTCTGGAGGAGTGTCCTTGCTGGGTGAAAGCCTTTTTAAGACTGGTGAGGTGGCGATCCCGGGTGTTCTCTTCAGTACAGATGCGGTGGTATCTGAGGGCTTGGCTGTGTATCACAGCTTTTTTGGAGTGTTTCGGGTGATTGCTGGTTCTGTGCAGATATGTCTGTTGGTCTGTGGGTTTCTTGTATACTGTGGTCTGTATTTTACCCTTCTGGATACTGATCATCGTGTCTAAAAAGGAGATGTTGGTGCTGGAGTATTCAAGAGGAAGTCGGATGGAGGGATGGTGACTGCTGAATTTCTGATGGAACTCAATCTGAGACTGCAGGTTTTCAGCCCAAATGATGATGTCATCGATGTATCTTAAGTATAGCAAGGGTTTGATGGTGCCGTTCTTGAGGAAGTCGTCTTCCAGGTGGCTCATAAAAAGGTTGGCATACTGTGGGGCCATTTTGGTGCCCGTAGCTGTGCCCATCGTCTGGAGGAAGTGTTGGTTATTAAAAGGGAAATTGTTGTGTGTGAGGATGAAGTGTATAAGGTCAGTAATATGTAGTCTTAATGGTTTAGGACGACTATGGCTCCTCCTCCGCCTTGTGAACGAGGCTTTCTCCTCAAAGAGGGATAACCTGCAGTGACTGCTAGACAGCAAGGTTGACATGGGGTTGTGGGTCAGGGGTTGGGAAGACCCCTTGGTTGGCATGGGAAGTAAAATCTGCCTTCCAAATAAGACATAGTCTTTGCAATCCAATGCAAAGTGACGCCAGGGAGGAGGCACACGGGCAATGTCTGGACCTTTCAGCTTGGGGCCTGGATGCTCCAGGTGTCTAGGAAAACTTTGACCACAGTCCAGTCCTTTCAAACACTTGAGCAGACCCAAACCCAGTGACACGTCTAGGAGTTTGGATGAAGGCTCTATGTTGCTGCCTCGAGAGAAGTAGGGGATGGAGGAAAGTGGGGAGAGTTTAAGGTCATATTTTAAACTTGGTCGTACCCAAAAAAGGCCACATGGGAGAAGGGCAAGTTCTTGAATTAAACTTGAAGCAAAAAGCAACAAAAGGAGCATTGTGTCACAACACAGCTTGCATAGGACAGAAATACAGTTTGTGACCCCCCCCCAGAAAGGCCAGCAACCCAGCAACATAAACGGTCAAGTTCAAAGAAACTTTCCAGTATTAATGTTGTCCCCTTCTTGTGCTCAGTATAGGGAGATCAAACCAGAGAACCGGGCCAGATTAATACTGCTTATGAAACACTGGATCAAGCCCACTAGCAAATGCTCTTTACCATTAACAGGTTTATACACAGCACATTTCACTAGGGCCTGTGAACAGCACGGTCTCCTGCTACTGTAGGTGGAACATCTTCACAGAGTTTTTCCTTTTCTGCTATTGGCCACGTCAAATATCTAATCCACCCGCACAGCTTATTATGCAGTTAGGTATTGGATCATGAATGTAGTCAAATGCAGGTACAGATTAGCCCTTACCGAAAACCTCAGACGACTACCTTGGGCAAGAAGGACGAGATGCCATAGTCTCCCTCTCACTGGGCTTCTGCAATGTGGGCTTGTCAGGAGGCATCGGCAGTTGTGAGCATTTCATTTAACAGCCAATTTGTGTTGGTGCACTAGCACCCTCCGGCAATGGTGAGCAAAGGTATAGCCACACAGGGTCTATAGAAGAATTTCTCCTTTACCTTTTTAAATCTGTCTAAACAGATCATAGAAACATAGAAAACGAGGTTGGAAAGGACCTCAGGAGGCCCCATTTAGTCCAACTACCTGCTCCAAGCAGGAAAAATCCCTTGCTGCAAGCCAGTAAAGCCCAGGTTGCATGTAACTCAGCAGCAACCTGTGGGATACAGGCTCAGGGCTTTAAAAGGCATTCAGGTGCCCGAGTTCATGCATTGGTGATTAGTGAAGAAATCCTGAGCACGTTCACATGGGGACTGTACAGATGTTCCCGGGCTCTGGGTCCACTCGGTTACTGTTTGTGTAGGGCAAGCAAGGAGGAAAGTGATCCCCTAAGAGCAGCTGGGACAGGTGGAGGAAGTTGCTCTAATTAAACACTGAAGCCGACATCTCCACCGCTGCCCAGTGAGCTTGGAGTTTGCGGTCTGGAAGGAAGGAAGGAAGGAAGGATGTTGGAGACCCATGCCATCTATCTGTTGCACATGTGCCTCCTGCAGCAGGTAGTGGTGAACCTAAGGCTGTACGGGCCCACCTCCTTGGTGAGGCCACATTCTTCGCTCCCAGTCTTCGTGCAGCTCCGAATCCTAATAACCGGACCGGTTCCTGATGAAAGAGAGAAAGAAATGAGCAGCTAGCGCTGAGACAGGACTCCCCTCGTCCTCCCTGCCATGTGAGCCTGATGCGCTGCCCGAGCCCCGCGGCTCCGGGGACCCCAGAGATACGAGCACTGCCGCAGTCACGGCATTTCCGTTGCAGGGTTGAACTCGGACGTGCCGCTCGCCAACGAGGTGGCAGCCCAATGCAAGGCTCGCCTGTCCACGTCCGCCACCCACTCCCGCATGGGGGAAAGGAAGAGGCAAGGGCATTTCGAAAAGCCCAACCTTACTGCGTATCACTCTGAGGACTTGGCAATACTGTCCAGGGCCTGCCAGGCAGAAATCGCCGCCGTCGGTGCATTCTCTGTAAGGGGATGTTTGTAGGCACATACGACACACAAGAGCTTCCCCTGCAAAGAACGGAGATGCAAATGGCCAGCAGGTCCTTGACACGAGGGACACAAACCCACAGGGAAGGGAGAGAAAACAAGCCAGAGGTGGGGAGAAAAGGCAGACAAGACTTGAAGGGAGACAAAGAGAGGAATGAAAAGCAAGAAGTCATGTCCCAGCAGCTTTGCTGTTGCACCTGCATGGGAAGAGGCTGAGAAGTTATTTCTCCTTCGGTGCCCAGTCACCAGTGCTTTATATAAATGCCTACACAGACTCCAGGCCAGACTTGCACCTGGTGTCAGCCAGCACAGAAATAAAAGGAATATAGGTGGGGAAGAGGAAAGGCCGAGTCCTGATAACTAAAGAGCACATCAGAGAGCTTTGAACGAGCTTGAATGAACTCAAGACAGCAGGGCTTGATGGCAGTCACCACGGGGTACTGGAGGCATGGTCAGAGGGGAGCGCTAAGCCCTTAGCAAAAATATTTCCAAAGTTGTGGGAGCCAAGTAGGGCTCCGGACAACTGGAGAAGGGCCAGCGTTAACAAAATTGATCTCCTCCCTTGACCACGTAACGGCTGGGGCTGTGCAGTGAATGCAGCGGGCATAGCGCACCGCTGACCTGCTTGTGTGCAAATTGGAGAAATGAGGGCTGGATCGAAATCCCTACCAGAGTGGGAGATAATTAACTCAATAACCATAAGCAACGGATCATTATTAATGTTTCAACATATATGGGTGCTAGACTTCCTGAGCTGACATGAAACTGGGAAGGACTGGGAATGCACTGGAGGGCAGGGGCAGGGTTGAAAAGGATCTGGATAGACTGGAAAGCTGGGCTAGTCCTGGGAAGGTGAACAATGGCAGCACAATTTTTGAGTGTCCCCTGGCACATTCATTGACTTTTGCACTGAGCTGGACTCCTGCTCCAGTGCCAGGACATCAGGCTTCAGCGCCGCGTGTCAATGGAGAGACACGTGGCCACGGTGGTCTGGAAGCTGGCGAACCCTGACAGCCGCGTGTGGCCAACCAGCTTGGCATAGGGTGGACAATGGAGGGACAACTGTCCCTCTGCCAAAGCCTAGTTGCGGTGGTCACTTCCATGCATGGTATGAGGTGGGGGAGATGTGCACGCACAGCTACCATAGCTCCCCAGCTCCTCCCGCAACCCACAGCCCATGCCTCAGTTTCCCCTGTGGCAAGCGGCCCAACAGTGCAGGTGGTTCTGCAGCGCAGGACTTGACAAATCAGAAAAATGGTCATTAATCAAATGAACTTCAAAAAGGACAACTGCAAAGTCCTGCACTTGGAAAAGAACAACTGCACATGCAAATGCAGACAGGGGAAGGCCTGGCCGGGCAGCAAAACTGCAGAAATGGAGCTGGGGACGGCAGGGCACTGCGAGCTAAATAGAAGTTGGCATGTTCTTGTGGGGGGGAAAAGGCCGAACAAGAAATGGAGGTGTATTGCAGGAGCATCATTTGCAAGTCACAACAAGATACCGGTATTCCTCCTCTCTCTTTAGGAGAGGTTGTGGCCTCCCCAGGAGAACTGCGTCCACTTTGGGGCATGACACATCAAGAAAAATGAGGACAAATTGGAAAGAGTCCAGAGAAGAACACGAAAAATTACTAGAGATCGAGAAATCATGGCATGCAACAAAAAGCACTGGGATTATTTAGTCTGGGGAAGAGAAGACTGAAGAGGGGTTGGGAGGAACCAAGTTAAGTCTTCGAATACATGGAGACAGACCATTTTCTGAGACTGCGGGAGGCAGGACAAGAAGTGACTATTTTAAACAGCAATGGGAGAAATGCAGATTGGAGATCAGGAAGAGCCTCCTCACTTTAAGCACTGGAAAAAATACCCTGAAAGGTCGTGATATCTCTGTCATTGGAAGCTTTTGAGAGCAGGTTTAAAAAACACGTGGCTGAGGATGGTTTAATCAGGGATGATCCTGCTTTGAGCAGGGGCTGGACTAAGTGACCTCCTGAGCATCCTTCCCATCCTATCTTTCTGCGACTCTTTGGGAGAGACCCATTAAGTCTTAATGAAGTAAGGGAATCTACCCTACCCCTTGCCATCTCTTCGGTGTCTGGGTTTTGGTGCTTGCATTGGCTATTAGTTTCTCTCTCCCTGTGCCCACCAGCCCTCATTTCCAGGACTCACCGGTCATGAAGAACAGTGCAAGCAACCCAGCAGAGAAGACCTTCCTCATGACGCGTTTCTCTCTCCTATGCCGCACAACGGCCAGTTCCAGTCATGCAGAACAAGCCCGGAGCTGGACATCCAGCAAAATGCAATGATTGAAGACCTAGTCAGAGGAACCATCTGGTATACCCGGCAGTGCCCCAAATCAGGAGCCGATCCCAGGCCAGTTGCAGAAGAACATACCTTCCTCTATTTATAGAGAGAAAATGCTCTGGGGGAGGTTACTCATTTAATACAAGATGATAACCCCAGCACATGTTGCAGGAACATTTCCTTCTCTCAACACCTGCCTACTTGTCTCTGGAAGGACCAGGGGGCATGGATGCTAGCTTGCAATTACAGGATGTTCTCAATAAATCCCTCTCAAAAACACCCAACCAGACAGGACAAGGCATTAGAGCAGAGGGCTGGGAGACACGGTGGGGCCCGTGGTCAAAACGGAGCCTCATAGCTCTGCAGAAAACCCGTCCCGGTAGAAAGAAGACAACCGGGAGTGGAGTGAAAAGGGACTGGGGAAGCACATCGTGCCAACTGCAGCTCCCCGGAGCATTGCTTTGAATTAAAGCGGGTGCCATGTCTTAGCACGAACTATTGCCTTTCTTGGTATGTAGTCCACACAGTCCCCAGGTCTCTTGCTCTCTGATGGGGTAGGAGCATGGCCCCCGTCTACATTGGAGAGTCTAGGTCCACGGATGGTGCTAGACTAAAACTTTGCCTGGCCTTAGCACAGGGATGGTAAAGACAATGTAAAGCTCCTTGACCCCCCTCTACCCACTAGGCACCCATGGATGACTAGGCACAAGTCTTGCCCCAGGTGCCGTGCTTCAGTATTTCCCCCAAAATCAGTTAAGACTCCTGTGCTGCGAGAAGATTTCACCATGCCCTCTTGATCACATACAAAGTGTCCCAACCAACTTCGTCACAGAGGCTGGTATGTAATATTTTCCATGCGCTCCATAAGTTTAGGCAGGCAAGGCTCTTTGAGTAGATGTGGTATCTTTTATTAGACCAACTAAATTATTCTTTGCTAGCTTTCGGGCACAAACACCCTGCTTCAGGCAAGAGCGTTTGTGCCTGAAATCTTGCAAAGAACAATTTTTTTCAGCCATTTAGCTGGTCTAATAGAAGATACCCCATTTCCCCAAAGAATCTTGTCTGCCTACATCCTTAGACCAACACGGCTACAAGCAACACCGCCATAACTCAATGCCTTTTAAGATGCCTATTGCAGCAAAGCTCCCTCCTTAGACCAACACGGCTACAACCAACACCTAACTTGATGCCTTTTAACATGCCTATTGCAGCAAAGCTCTGCTTCACGTTGTTTGGCCAAACTGAAGCTCTGCTACCAGGCCTCTTTTTGTTGTAGTCGAAGCAAAGGCTGGGACCTGGTTTGCAGGCTTCTTGTATAATCCTCAGTCTAAAATTTCCAAGTATAAAACCTGAAACCTGGTAGATTAGATAGAGGCATCCTGGGCTGTGATTTATTGCCAAGGGTTTTCTTCAGGAAAAACGTGTGCAGATTTATCTGTCTGTAAATAAAAGGTTGCATTTCTTACACTTGCACGCTCACTCATCGGTCAGGCCCATCAAAGCACACACATGCCCAATATGCATGAATGACTAGAGAAGGTCCTGAGTGGCAAAGTTTTGTATTCAGTCTGGATCCCAAATTCTCTCTAATTCAGGAAGTCTGGCTTTGGTTTGGTTTATTACAGAGTTATGGGCCGAGCTACAAAAAAAAACCCTCTGGGTCTGAATTCCTCCATATATTGTAGCGGTTTGGATCAGAGATTGCAATCCAGAAGCATCTCTACCTATTGCCATCAAAGACCAAATCTAGTATAAAAATCCAGTCGGGTACATATGGAGAAGTTCAGTCTGATCCTAATAAAAAGCCAAAAGATTTGTTCCCAAGCCAATGCTGAAATGGACCAATAAAAAGGGACCACCCACAAACAATTAAAAAAAAACATTCAAAAAGCAATTTAACAGCTACTCTATGCAAATCTCTTCTAAATATAGTCAGCAGATGTATGCAATGTGTGGGAAGAGTCATAAGGCATCCTGTTCTTGTCCCTAGAGGAAATGGGTTATCAAGAAAGCACAGTGTGGGCCCAGCAGAGACTGGAGTCCCCTAAGATGGGGATCATCTTTTCACCTCTGCATCGTTAGCCTGTACGGCAATCGCCTGGTCTCGCTTTGAAGGAGCCCCTGAGCTCTGGACCCTCTCCCCCAGCTTTCTTTGGGGCATGAGGCACTGACCCTCTTAGTTTGTGAAGGGAGGTCCTCTGCATTGAATCAGCAACCTGCCCCAATTATTATATGCATAGACACTGCCCATCATCATGCCATCTGGTCACCCATGGTTTCAGACGCAAAGCCGTTAACCTTTCCCAGCTTCCCACCACTAAAATCACTCGTTCTTGGGATCAGCTTGAGGATAGGCAGCCAGAGCTAGACAATTCATGTTGTACCTTGACCTAGCCCTTGAAGCTGGATTAGGTGGAAAGGTTCCCACTGGTCGAGTGACTATCACTGGCATCCATCCTCATTGAATACTGGCCCATCAGAAAGCAAATGGAGGCTACACGGGGTGCAGTGGTCACTTGGGTCCATGCTCATAGCTCTGCAGTGCGAGTCAAGCACTCGAATGCTGTGCAAGAATTAGACTCTGACTTAGGTCTGCTGGTGGGGAAGTGAAACAGGCTGGAGGGGCAGGGTAACAAACAGCAGCTTGTGTGGGTTCAAGGGACTGCTGCATGCTCAGACCCTGCATGGGTCATGCGTGCTGCCATAAGAGATGGGTACAGGGCTCTGGTATCAGAGGGCATCCAAAAATAGCAGAGACTGAAGAGAGACGGTGTAAAATAGGACACTGGCCTAATTGGGGGAAAACAAGATTTGCAGAATCATCACGACCCATGCTTCATCAGTGCAGGACGATGAAGAGGAAAGAGGAGAGGAGCTCTGAGGAGGCAGAGCCCTTGGGAACTGATCCAGATGGATTATATGGGAGAATTGCCAGCCACTTCTGGGGTAACAGACACCTTGTAGTGGATGGTTTTGTCCACCGGATGGGAGCCTTCCCCACACAAAGCTGCACAGCTCGTTACTGCTATGCAACTCATTTACAACGCGTTCAGCCAACGGGGAAGCCTCGTTGGCTCTGATTGAGAAGCAAGCTTTGTTGGGACTATGTTATGAGAAAGAGGACGTCTATTTGGCATGGATCAAAAGCTCTGTGTAACCACCCCGAGTCTCGAAAGGGACTGAACTCTTCCAAAGGGACTTCAAAGAATGAGTTCGCTCTGCTGAGACAAAATCCTTCCCTTTGTGCTAATGAGAACCAGAGCCAGAGAAAAGAGGCCCGCTGGTGCTACCTCTTATGAAGCTTTGCTTGCACAATTATGGCCATGACTTGTCTAGTCTCCTTCTAGCACACCTGGATGGTCTCTGCGCAGCAGGTACGGGACCCTTTTTCATTAGCAACCTTGTGGGGAGGAACTTAGACGTGGCCTTCTGACATCTGCAGACGACACAAAGCAGAGGGATACTGCCGACGCTAGGGAGCACCGGATTATTAGGTGGGGCATATCCAGTAGATCAAGGAAGCACTGGTACCGCTGTACAAGGAAAGACCCCATTCAAAACCACCCTGTACTGTGCTGGCCACCCATGTTCAAGAAAAGATGAAGTAAAAGCAGGAGCAGAAGCAAAGAAGGACCTTTAAGATGGTTAAAGGAACAGAGGCCTGGGATTTCACAAACTGGAGTTCTTGGCCTTCAAACAGGCTGTCACCCAAAGATCCCAGGATCTGCTATAGTGCTAAATCCCAGGGGTGAACCCCACAACAATCCCTTGAGTTGTATATGTTGCTAAGTACCAAGTAGTTTGGCTAGCTCTACAACTCCCCAAGCCCCAAAAGTCCTAGAAGTACCTCTAGGACCCCAGAAAGTCCAGCTGCTGCAAACCCAACTAGCCTGGACACCTTCCAATGACAAAAGGGGCCTGAGACAAAGGGCTGCCACAGTGGCTTGAGTGGAAAAATTCAGTGGGCACCTGTACACACCACGGGTTTTAATCCTCATTAAATTAAATAGGTTTATAAAATTTAAATTTGTTTCTTTTGGAGCATCACATCAGTGTTTTCACGCACCAGGTTTTTGAAGGAATTAAGCTTTGGAGCATCACATCTCCTCATCTCTCCGGACACAACCGTGTCAACCCAGGACTGACCCAGGTGTGCCCAGCTCTGGAGTGTAACGGCCATGTATAACAGTGTGTGAGGAGAGCTGTGGCGAAATTTTTTATGTGGCTGTGTCACCCAGCTCTGGGGTGTATCTCAGCCCTCCCCATACACTGTTGTATGCGTCCGTTACACCCCAGAGCTAGGGCCATCCCATGCCATGCCTCTGGCACTGGGGACTCTCCTGGACACCCCTGACCATGTGGGCTGGCCCAGGAAAGGTTTCCATCTGTCATCCCAGCCCCAAAACCAGTTCCTTATTCGAGCCCATATACTTAGTATAGTGTGCATGGGGGGCTGTGAGTTGGCAGCCTGGCATGAACAAACAGCACTTTGGGCCAGGCAAGACCCAGAGATGTCTGGGAGAGACCCCCAGTGGCACAGAGTCATGGTGTGGGTGAGGGGGGTGCTAAGAAGGATTTCCATCTCTAATCCCAGCCCAAAAGTAATTCCTTATTTGAGCCCATATACTTGTTACAGTGTGCATGGAAGGACTGGCAATCAGGCCACACGTTGGGCTGTGCAAGACTCTGGTCAGAGATATCCAGGGAAGTCCCTGGTGGTACACAGGCATGGTGGATGCAGGATATTAATTTACATATCATTTGGTAAATATGCACAGCTAATGACATTCTCTCTCTTTAGAATGTGTAATTCATTAAGAAGCTTTGATTGGGTCTAGATTCACTTTGAAAAAGAAGCTGGGAACCAGGAAGAAGGACCTGGGAATGACAGGAACAAAGTGCAGCCTCATGAACCACAGCATGTGGCCTTGGT